CTCGCAGTAACAATCGATTCAACTGTGGTTAGAATGAAATTCACATTTCCAAGTTTGCAAAAAGAAAACACCATCGCCAACAACAACAACAATATAACAATTTTTATAGGGTTTTATGGGTGTAATGTTATTTTTGGGAATGAATGAGTGGATGGTTGCACAGTGGAGTTTTGAGATGGTAATGAGAAAAATGCTCTTATTGCCTTTGGAAAAAAATACTTAAACTGTACGTTGTAGAGCAAGGAGTGACTGTAGCCAAACGAAATTTGTAGTTTTTCAAGGAAAACGAGTTAGAAAGCTTAAAAAGTGTTAAACATAGTTTCCCATTTTACGAGAGTTTTTATTATTCAAAATGTGGACCTTTTGTGGGGCAAGTATCCGAAGAAGTGCTCGGTGCTATATATTATCATTATAACAGATCTTGCCTTAGTAGAAGTATTGGGATGTGTTTGAGTTTGATGTAAATCTGAAGCTTACTTCGAATTGTATAAAAGTTATGGTTATTCAAATATATTGATCACTTATGGGAGAGAAACCGGAAAGAGTGGCCTGCTCTTTTTCTGCATTCATACTATATCTATAGTTGGTAGAAACACAGGGATGTAGAAATTTAAAGACTATTGCACCCTTATTTCATATTTTATAAGAAGAAGTGAGCACTGGAAGAAGTGAGCCGATTTTGTTAATTTTCGCACCTGATAAAAATATTAAGATTTACATTTTATGAAAATTGGATGATCCTTACTCTTTACTTTTTGTATTGGAGGTACCGGAGGAGCAGGCCGATATTGTTTATCTCCCAACTCAAGATAAGTTTGATAATAATATTACGATGTATGAAGTTTGAAGAAAAATGGAAACTCCATTCGAGAGTTGTTGGGTTGTGCACCAGCCCGACAGACGGAGAGGCCACATTATGTCATAAGGCTACAACTTAAATTATGCCCCAAAAGTACGGGATTGCTCAAAGAGTGGGAGTTTTATACAGAGTTTACTGTTCACTCTTATGTGGGGGCACTCCCGAGTTAATCTTGGTTGAAAAATTTGAGTCGCAGCCAAATCTTTCGAAATGGAGTGAGTGTTTGCTTTAAGAGTTAACAGAATTAAATAATAGAAAAACTAAGAGTGATCAGCAGGAGTAGAATCCGCTCGTTTTCGAATGATTTTTGCTCCCACTCTAAAACGATATCTAAAAAGAGTTTGCTCCTTTTTTTCTACTCCCAAGAGTACTGCCGCAAGACTTCGAAGGAGTTTCACTCTTTATTCTAATTCCAGCGTGTTTAACGAAGGTGTGGATATACGTAATTGTATCTAAACCAGAGCTAGGCAGAGAGCCTCAAACATTTTTTGTGATTGTATGTGTTTTGAAATAACAAAATATTCCAAGTGCTTTTTTGCCTCTCTTTACAGAGTGAGAAATAATTTGTTATATTTAAATTTTCAATTTAAAATTTTCTGTTTTCAAAACAATATTGTTGGTAAAAATTAATATTTTGAATAGACAATTTGGAGATATATTTGCACAATTATTTCACAATTATGATTAATTTTAATATAAAACAAGTAAAAGAGCTGTAAGTTCGGCCTGGCAGAACTTTGAATAACATCCACCCTCTGGAACGAATTTGGCAATTTTCGAAAAAATAAAATCCGTTAAAAATTCTGTTAAAATCCTAAAAATACCGAATGTGTACCGACTGCATAGGTAACTTTTGTCATAAACCATTACAATATTCAAATGCGACACTTGAATAAAAGAAACGGTGAATAATGTAACTAAAATCATCAAAATACCGATTATCGGGAGGTACCGTTACATGGAGGCAATACCAAAACGTGGACCTACATGGCCCATTTTCAATACCAAAAGTCCTGCAGACATAATATACATTTGAGCAAAATTTTATTAATCTACTTCATTTCGTTCGGGAGCTAGAGCGATTTCCACAGACGGACGGACATCGCTAAATCGAAATAGAATTTTATGCTGATCATGATTATATATACGTTGTGGGGTCTAAAATGTATATTTCGAGGTGTTACAAACGGTGGAACGGTGGAGGGTATAAAAAAATAATATAAATGTTCTTCAAAAATATATAAGTTAACATAATTTTGATGTTATTTGTGTTTAATAACCATCAAAGTTGCCCCTTTAAAAACTCATATCCTGTGTTGGGTCCTAAAAGATTATTTCTATGAATCACAAGCAGAATGACAAACATCACAACCTTTTATTTTTCCCAATATTGACCAAGAACGTACATATCATTTCATAGAAATCAAGGGATATGAAAATGTCTCTAATTTGGAAGGACAATAAATTTGTCGATCAATATGAAATTAATTTATATTCCTAACATGTGAATTCGTATACAAATTCTGTCAAATAGAATTCAATCGAAAAAGATAATCTTAACAGTTGTAAGTCTTACAATTTCGGAAATATTTGTTTCAAATATGTAGTAAGATATATTTATGTGTTCCAATATTTCTTACGGTGTATTCATAAAAATGTCCGACAGCACCTTCCTCATCGACTGCTCGAACAAAACTAAATATTCTCCCAAAACCATTTTGACAGAAAATTCAAAACAATTTATTTTTTACAGTTGTGTCTTGATCTAAACCAGGGCAAGGCAGAGAGCCTCAAAAAATTTTTGTGATTGTATGTGTTTTGAAATAACAAAATATTGCAAGTGTTTTTTTGCCTCTCTTTACAGAGTGAGAAATAATTTGTTATCTTTAAATTTTCAATTTAAAATTTTCTGTTTTCAAAACAACTTTGTTGGTAGAAAAATAATATTTTGACAGACAATTTGGAGATATATTTGTAGAATTATTTCAATTCTGATTCATTTTAAAATAAAAATTTTATATAATTTTGATGTTATTTTTGTTTAATAATTTCGGACATAACATGCTAACCATCTATGTTGACCCTTTAAAAATCCGATTCCGATTTCCACAGGCTGGCATACGCAATTAGTCGTATAATTTTATGCTGATCAGAAACTCATATCCTGCGTTGGGTTCTAAAAGATTATTTCTATGAATTACAAATAGAATGATAAACATCGCATCTATTTTTCCTAAAATTGACTAAGAACGTACATATAATTTCAGAGAAATCAAGGGATATGAAAATGTCCACTAATTTGGAAGGATAATACATTTATCTGACAATATGAAATGAATTTCTATTCCTAACATGTGAATTCGTATGCAAATGTTGTCAAATAGAATTTAATCAGAAAAGATAAATGTCAAAAGTTATAATTTTTACAATTTCGGAAGTATTTGTTTCAAATATGTAGTAAGATATATGTATGTGCTCCAATATTTCTTACGGTGTATTCATAAAAATATCCGACAGCACCTTTCTCAACGACTGAGGAAGGTGCTGTCGAATATTTTTATGAATACACCGTAAGAAATATTGGAGCACAAATATATCTTACTACATATTCGGAACAAATATTTCAGAATTTGTAAAAATTATAGACATACTATTTTAGAACCCAACGCAGGATATGCGTTTCTGATCAGCATAAAATTCTACAACTATTTGCGTATGTCAGCCTGTGGTAATCGGTATTAATTTTTAAAGGATCAACTTAGATGGTTAGGATGTTAAGTCGGAAATTATTATTTGTGTTTAATAATTTTATTTTAATAAAAATTATATAAAATTTTTAAAAATGTCAACTTATATATTTTTTTACTTTAAAATGAAACATAATTGAAATTACTGTGCAAATATATCGCCGAATTCTCTGATCAAAATATTAATTTTTAACAACGAAGTTTTTTTAAAACGAAAATTTAAAGACAACCAATTATTTCTCACTCTGTAAAGAGAGGCAAAAAAACACTTGCAATATTTTGTTATTTCAAAACACATACAATCACAAAAAATTTTTGAGGCTCTCTGCCTTGCCCTGATCTAAACCAACTACATTAACCGAACATGTCGAGCCGGCTGCTGCTCCCGATTGGCACAAAGCCCTATTAGCCCAAGCACGTCGAGGCGATTACAACACAAATCTATAGCCCGGTTATCGTTTGGCCGACTTCGTCAACCTGAGTTCCGAAAGCCAGAATACATCAAGCGGACTCTATCAACACGAATATTCGAATAACATAAAGTCGGCTATATCCATCGACCGTCAAGTCTTTCATCATTAAGTCGACTTCATCAGCCCTTATACACCAATCCGAATATCATCGAGCCGACTATTAATATCCACAGAGCCGTCTGTATCATCACATGCTTGTCAATTAAAACCACAAAAAAATTGTAATATATCAACTTACGTTTTAACTTGAGGATTGTGGGTCCTTTGTGGTTCATGTGTTCTGGAGTTAATCCTGAATGCGACTGAGATTACTTCAGTCGCAGATAAAGCATAGCAAATAAATAAATAATCGGAAATAAAAACAGAAAGTCTGGTAGTGTAAATTTAATGATAGTAAGTACAGCATCTCTAACTTTCTAAATGGAAGTCAGTAGCCAAATCGCTTAAAATGAAAATTTTATAAACAAATAACAATAAACCACTGTTTACTAACGGGAAAGCAAACAAAATCATGAGCCGGGAAGTAAAGGAAGGCACTGAGCAATGAAAAATAAAAGGAAAACACAATAAAAGAAACTTATACAACGAATAGACGAAAAATCATCACCATCACGACCAAATGCGGAAACGGAAACCAAACTTTTAAAATCTGGCCAAAAATATTACAAGAGTTTTGAGTTGTGATTATTCCCACTTCCCTTTTATGTGCGAATCCGTGAGAAGTCGACAAAGTAGTAGCAGAAGTAGCAGTGCTGATGGGGGTGGTGGTAGTAGTTTCGCTCGCTACCAACCAACACACATAAATAGACTTGAATTTTTTGCCGACTTTTTTATTTTTTAGTTTTACGCTCTTAGACCAACAAAAAAAAAAAGCTGCAAGTTTAGAAGTTGTGGGGAAATTGTTAATTAAACTCTACTTACCGTCTGGGTTTATTTGAGTGCTGCCACTTGAAGGATTCAAATATAAATACACTGAAATGAACAGAAAGGGAGAGAGAGGAAGAAGATGAAAAGAGGAACATTTAAAAATGCATTCACAGCAAAAAAAAAATGAAAAAAAAAAAACAAAAATACTAAAATCTAAATTACAGTTAAGAGCACGAATTAAATATAAAACAAACTTTTTAAAAAAAAAATAAAAAAGAATTCCGAATTCGGTTCTCTATTTCAATTTCGAGTTAGTGTTCTTTGATGTCAATAAACTTTTTGACTGTGACCGGAGAAGTGTAGCTAAAATCACTGAACTGCAAACACGCATGGTGCGAACTATTTTATTGCTTCCGGACATGAGGTGAATTTATAAACTGAAGGCAAAAAAAATATGAGGTTATTATACTACCTTAAAGACAATTTCAAGTTAAGTTGTAGATACAAGATTGTATATCGACCGGGTACATAACATAGGGAATTTTGATATCACTTCGGATTTTTGAATATTTTACATGGTAAAAATAAAAAATAAAATGATTTGAACATAGCTTATCGTATTAAAGTAAAATTAAACTACACATCAATTTTTTCCAATTTTTGGGTAATTTAAATATTATGGAATTACAAAATATGTTCCAAATATATATAAAGTAAGCCAAAAAGTAATCAAAATTAATGCAAAAATATGAAATAACGAACAACTTAAAATTGAAAATTAACCCTATTTATTTCTATTGTGACCCATTGTGAGTTGTCGCTTCTTTTCCGAAAATGTCTTTTATACGCTGTAAATATGCAATTTTTTAGTTTATAATATTGTCTTTTCGTACCCAACAAAATACTCCTTTGAGGCCATTTTTGCATTATATTTTACATATTTTTTTTGTGATCTCAAATATATTGTATTTGAATATCAAAACATCTATATATTTAAATTTTTTAAAATAAAATAAACATGCACAAACTAATAAAAAATGATGTCCGCTTTTACTGGTTCTTAATAGAGTTGTGTCAATCTAGTTCATAGTTCAGCACACCAATTCCTAAAAGTATGAGTGATTTCATAAATTTCTCGTATTTCATATCACTCATACGCAGAATTTTCATACAAACGACCGGAGTTTACGGAGCTAAATAAGGAACTAGTTCGTTCCATCTCAACTCTTAAGTACCAATAGAAGCGACCAGCATTGTTGAAAACTTAAATTTGATCATAAGGCTCCAGCCTTAAAAACTCCTAAAATTTGGCGAGTGCGTTTTAGACCCTCTGTGTGTTAATACCCGAAAATTCTGAATATTGTTACCAAAAGTTTTATCCATAGTTTAAAGGCAACAAACCCTAAAAAATAGGTCAGCAGTGACAATTTCTTAAAATATTTATACAAAAATAAATAAATAAATAAATTCAATAGTGGCATATAAATACATCTTCTTCTTCCGATACCTTCCACAAAGTGTAGACATTTTAAAAAATCATTAATTTCGTATAATTAAAACGGGATCTTAGATTGGATCCAATATTTGTGCCTCTTAATACTACCTAAGGGGGTTAAACTGTATATCTTCTCAACATAATTTATAGACCAGATATATACTATGTGTGATAAATCATTCTCATCACCTTAATGCTTATACGGCCAAAAATCAGGTTTGGGATTTTTTGTATCGATTTATTTACTCATATCTGAATTAGAATGTAAACCACTGCTTCTGGCTCAAAAATCAAAAAATATAATGAGTAAGAAACGGCGTTATATACCCTCTACCATGTAAAAAAAATTAAATTATGAAAAGATCGATTGTCCACGAAGTTCCTAAACAGTTAAAAAATGTGACAAGGAATATCGATATACGAAAACCATTAAAATACTCGGATCAAAATATAACTATTTTTGCAAGGGAAATCTGTTTAAACATTGTGCTGAGATCTGCAAAATACCGAATCGAAGATGTATCGGTATAGGAACTGTATCCAAAACAAGAACACGTATTTGCACGTTTGGGAGTGAAACTATCCCGTAGATGGGTTTACTTCTCCACTCTTTTGTTTGGTTACTGATGTTTGAAAAATTAGAGTGAGAAACGCTCGAAATAGAGTAAGATTTTACTCTAAAAGTGAAATCGAGCGGCAAACATTTATTTGGCTTAATTTACTGCAGACTCAGGGAAGGGTCGTGTAAAAAGTTAATAAGGCAAAACAGTTAATAAGTCATAAGACAAAAAAGCAATAACACTTTGTTGGTACATATTGGTGACAGTTATCGTAACGTGATCGGTTTTATTTCGTTTGCATCTGTGGTTTAAGAAAATATATATACAAATACAAAAACTAAAAGTTTATGTGTCAAGAGTAGAATCAACTCGACTTCGAGCAAAATATGCTCGATCTTATTCAAGCTACATCGACAAATATAGGGTGTTCACGGATAAGTGAACATGTTTTTATAATAAAAGAGAATAGCGGGGCTACCTAGTGTAGATGAGAGGGATTTGTTAAATTGGGATCTTCTTAATACAGTCCACATGAAATAAGATAAGAAAATGTGGTGAGCAGACCTTCGAGTTAGAAATAAGTAATACAGAATTTTCAATTGCTGCATGTGTTATGGTGGAGTTAGATTATGGGATGTAATCTTTACTCAGAATGATAAGCAAGTGCAGCTTGTTTGCTTGCCACATGTGAGATAGCTATGCGTGTGTATGACCTCCCCCTAAGGTTTATGGTGGCATGGTGCATATGCATGTGTACGGTTGGTATCTATCTCTCTCTCATTTACACTTAATTATAATTTAGGTTAAGTCATACTATCACAACTAGTTCTTAAGAAATGTTTTTAATAAATAAATTCAGTGTCTTACAAACGCTCAAACGGAAAAGACGTTTGGTCTTTTAAATGATCCCAATTTACATTGGTCCACCGAGCCGGATCGGTAGAGGATAAATGTTGAAGAATTTGCCTTAACATCGAGGAAATTCTGTCAGGCTAAAATTGGTCTTCAAGAGTGGAAAATTACCGAGCTAAAACTACAGCTGGAATTGTTCCCATACAGAAGAAATTTATAAGCCAAATAAAAGGATGCTGAGTCAGAAGGAAACTTCAGCACAGAAGACTGTGGTGGCGGTGCACACCGAGGGGGCCTCATATTTGAAATCTTCAGACAGAAGGGGTGATGCATATGCCCAGGAGGACGAATCGGTGAAACGGCCGCCAATGATGAAACTAAAGGAAGAGGCTGTCACTCTTCTCGAAATGATGGGTACAATTATGGAAATAATGAGTACCTTAAAGACAGAAGAAGCCATAGAAGGCGTATTTGACTTCGCCAAAGAAAAAATTATGGACGCGGCAAGAGAAGTGATATCATATCCAGGCGTTCATAGGCGATTTTTAGAGATGCTTCTAAAGAAGTCCAAACTAGCCGCTGCTATCAGGGCAAGTCAGCCGAATGGGACAGCGAGGCTGTATTTGGAAGATGTTAAGGTCATCCTTAAAGTCACACAGGCTCTTAATGTGGAGACCAAAGAGAAAGTCCTTGGCTTGAAGAAACAAGTGGCCTACATAACATCCGAATTGGACAGCGAGCGAGAGGGGCGCGAAGCAGCAGTAGCCGTAATGAGAAAAATGGAAGGTGATATTAAGGAAATGGAGTTTGCCTTGATTTCACAGAAAGATGAAAAAGAAGATGCCCTCAAACTTGTCTCCAAATTGAAGGAGGAAGTCGAAAATGCTGTGTGTGTTATCGAGAATACCAAGGACAAATTACGAGCGGCTAAACAGGAGGCAGAACGCGAGGGCGAGGCATTGAAGGCGGTAATAAGACAACTTAGTGATGAGTTGTCTTGTGCAAAAACAGGACGACTTGCAGCTGCATCCGAACGTGACGGGTTGGCTGCAAATCTAGAAGCTGGTGAAGAAAAAGAAAGAAGGATATTTCTGCTGGAGGCTGAAATATTGCAACTAAAGGAAGAGTTGCTCATATCGCAGAAAGCATCCAAAATCGAGGCTGATGAATTGGCTGCAAAATTAGTGGTCAATATCAACGAAGATATGATGGTTGAAGAGGTTTATATGGAAGACCCAATTGCCGAAAGAGAATCAACTTTTGAAAAGGTAGATGAACAGCTCCCTGGAAAACTGGACACAGGGAGATTGGAAGAAGTCGAAGATAATCTATTTGCCAGCGAGATGAAAACTAAGAAGAAAAGCAATCTGCGTCGCTGGAATAATAAGATGCTAGAAGACGGTCAAGTTGTGATCAAGATGTCTAGTGGAAGTGGTGCAGCGAATAAAATACAAGCCGGAGTGACAGAAAATTATGAACACTGGAACGATAAACTGTCCAAAGTCGGTAAGATGGCGCTGCCAGAGAAGGATGAGAACTTTGATCACAGAAAGAAAACAACACATAAAATGGATTCAGCCTGGAAATTGAAGCCGGCAGACAAGGGAGGTGGAACCTTTAAGAGAGCCAGGCTGGATAGATGGAGGAGTTACTTGGGTGCTATAACTTAACTTCTTTTCTCTTAAAATGTCACTTCTATTAGATCAATTTTATTGTTCATATTTGTAATTTTTATATTTTATATGTATTTTTGCCCCTGCCAAGAATGTTCACGGATAAGTGAACATGTTTTTATAATAAAAGAGAATAGCGGGGCTACCTAGTGTAGATGAGAGGGATTTGTTAAATTGGGATCTTCTTAATACAGTCCACATGAAATAAGATAAGAAAATGTGGTGAGCAGACCTTCGAGTTAGAAATAAGTAATACAGAATTTTCAATTGCTGCATGTGTTATGGTGGAGTTAGATTATGGGATGTAATCTTTACTCAGAATGATAAGCAAGTGCAGCTTGTTTGCTTGCCACATGTGAGATAGCTATGCGTGTGTATGACCTCCCCCTAAGGTTTATGGTGGCATGGTGCATATGCATGTGTACGGTTGGTATCTATCTCTCTCTCATTTACACTTAATTATAATTTAGGTTAAGTCATATTATCACAACTAGTTCTTAAGAAATGTTTTTAATAAATAAATTC